AAATCTATTGTATCTGTGCATATAGTTTTAATTCGTTGTATTTGATTAATTATAGTATTGTTAATTACTTTTTTGGATATGTTGGAGTTCCAATTTATTAATTTTTTTAGTATTGAAATTGAAGTTTCTTGTTTTGTCAAAAAGTAAATTTTTTTTGTAGTTAATGATTGAAGATCTAGAAAGTCTATGCTATTTTGTGAATTATTAGTTTTATTAAGTTTAAGACAATTCGGATAAATGTCGGAGTTTTCAATTTTACCAAAATTATTAATTGTAATAAGGTCATCAATATATCTGTAGGTGTGTTTGTAGTAATTTAACTCTTGTGGTTGTAGATTTTTTTGGAAGTTAAATTCTTTGACAAATAAAAAGATAATATATATATAAATCTTGTACGTACCAAACAAATGGTCTTAGAACGTTGAAATTTTGTATTTGACACTGTTATAGCATGTAGATATGCACTTCCATTTTCGTTGGCTGCACCAAAAGTAAAGGCATAAAGTAAGAAATTTAGAAGGTTACTGATAGATTTACTGACAACAGTTACTTTTAGAATAAGAATAATATTATGAGAGATTCAAAGGTTATATTTAACTTAATGGACAGTAGGCAATGTTGGCATATATATTTTGGTATAGAAAATTGTTTGGCAAATGTTATCCAATAAAGGAAAATATCCGAAGTTTGCTTTGTCTATATCAATATCCTTGGATTCCATCTCAGGCTGAAAACTGAGATAAATTTAGACATATAGTTATTGTAAGCTCTGTAATCTTGTTCTTAAAAATATAGTTGTATCATTATAAAATATTAATAAACTATATTAAACTGTTGCCACCAAATATTAGAGTCCTGCATTATATTTGAAGAAATTAAATAATGAAAAATCTGCATAAATGTATGTATATTTCTCGCATTGTGATAAAACAACGGTACATAGAGCCATCGAATTTTGAATGGTGTAATCCTCCTGCGAATATGGGCATGTGGAAGACGAAATTTGAAATTTGGAATTTTTTTTTATTATCGGTTTCATATTTTGTAAAACTTTAACAAATTTTTGATTAACAAACTCAGTGATTTCAACGCGAGCAATGGCAACACTCCACGCGGAAAAAACCTTTTCATCTCCAGTGCGCGGAACTGTATATCGGAAATTTTAAAGATATGCTCATTTTAAAATTATTTTGCAACATTGCTATTGAACTGAATTTTATGGTTTAAGTGCAAAGAACATGATATTTAATAAATAACGATAACACACAAAATGTTAAGAAAATGCTCCTTTGGATGTAATTTAAAATCTGAAACCGTTCAGAATTTTTTTCCCCAAATTGTTTTGTAATTATATATATGTAATAAAACTGCGGTTCGATAACATGACATGAATGATTGCAGATTATGAGTGCAGCATAAACTTGCATTAAAATTTTCAGTGAAACAGGAATTGGTTTTTCACTGTGAACATATAGTAACAAACCCGTGTAGATTTCTTCATAATTACAACTGGCTGAAAAATGTAATGACAGAACAATTTTGGAGGCACTGAGATGTGGAAGCGTAGCAATGTTGTTTAGTGTCGACTTGATGCTTATAGACTTGATGCTTCTTAAAAATGGATAGACTTATGTCTATCCATTTTTAAGAAGAAACAGTCGGGCGGGATTAAATTCTGTATTTATTTAAATTCACATTTTTGTGGCCATAATTCACTTGGCACTCTAATCGACTCTATTTCCAGAACATTTACAAATTTGATACTATAGTGATTGAAGATTGCTGCAGCGTCTTAACAGGATGAAAGCATAAGCCAGAAGAGAGAGAGTGTCACAGTAGTAATGTAAAGGAAGAGAGGTTCAGTTTTTAAGTTTGGTTTACAATTTGGTGATTGGTCAAAAGGCATCTGCATTAAGTGTTATGTAAGATCACATGATTAATTTGAATGACATAGTTTAGACTTATGGTGCTATTTCTAAGATAGAGAGAAGAAATTCCCAAATTAAATGAAAAATAAAAGAATTTAAACCAATTAAAATTAGAAGTTTGCTTACATATTTTTTTATATACCCTCTCTGTTTCCTGGCTCAGTGAACTAAGTTTTTTTATTCTTATATGTTGGTAAATTGTACATTTTTTGTTTTTAAGGTGATTGAATGATATTGTTCTTATGTTTCCTAATGATGGCCCCATTTGTTTACATTTGAAATTTAGCCTGCATAGGGAATTAAGTCAGTTTCTGCACCAACTTGAGTGTCTTTTTATTTGAGTGGGGTCAAACGTTTGGTGCGCTGAAAAAACTGTCTTTCTGCCTAATTTCAATTATTTAAAATTTTAATTGTAAAAAATTGTTTTTTTTAACGATTTTTACCTCTATTTGGTGTTTTAGGTTTCCCTGCAGTTTGCAATTTTTAATGATGTTTTGAGATCTGTATTTTTTCCTTTTTGCGAAGTGAAAACTGAATTGATTGAATGGAAAATATATCTCTAGTGAAATTTGGGGGCGTAAGTTTAAATGAAAAGCAGCAAAAAATGTGCATAATTTTATAGACTGTACAAGGTAGTCTGTGGTGTCCACATCAGATTTTTTTATTTTGTACTCCTAGCAGAATTCTTTTGGGGGTGGGAGGGGAATTTCTCAATCTAAACATTGAATTGATCTTTTCAGAATAGAAATCTTAAATTTAAAAAAATGAGTCTTTAATATGATTAATAAAAATAAGTATTTAATAGGATTTACTAATTAGCATATTTAGACAACGTAATGTTAGTTACAATTTAATCACGTGTTTACAACTTATTAACCTATGTTAAATCGTAATGCATGAAATATTACAAGTGTCATTTTGTCGGTCTAAAATCCTATGCATTAAATTTGAATTATGACTGGACCAAAGTATGTTGACACTGAATGATTTGCATAAAATTGATTAAAAATATTTATTTTTTTCAAATGTTTTAATTATTCATTATGTTTCTGGGTTAACTTTTATTATTTTTTTAATGTATTTCATATTTAAAATTATATATGATTCTGGTATTAATTAGGATGCTTCAGGCTGTAAACTTTTAGCTTAGTTAGATTATTGACTGTCTCAATTATAAAAAAGTTTGTGTTAAAATTTTGAGAAATAGTGAAAAGCTAATTATTTGTTCAGATGAATTTACTAAAAAAGGACATGCTTGCATTTCATAACAAAAATTATATTAAAGTCTTTTTACGTTTTGTAATTATATATATATATGTTAGGAATTTTAAAGCATGTTTTTTCATAAAATGTTTTAAACTATTTTTTGTAATTATATATATATGTTAGGAATTTTAAAGCATGTTTTTTCATAAAATGTTTTTTTTTAAAAATTTTTGTAATTGTATATATGAGTTAGGAATTTTAAAGCATGTTTTTTCATAAAATGTTTTTTCATAAAATGAATTTTTAATTTTTTAAATTTTTTAAATAAAATCTATTTCTTTTAAAACAAAATATGAGTAGACTAAACACAGAACATATGAAATAATACATTTAGTTCAAATAATAAATGGCTTTTGTCTAAGTATTATGTTTAAAACTTGTCAAAACATTTACTGATATTCACTTCTTCAAAGTCATACATGTTAAATCACTTCGTTTACCAGTTTCTATCTTTTTGCTCTAACAGAATGGTGCTGTCATTGTCACTGTAGGTGTATTTTATGGTGTCAGTGCTTTCTGAAGTATTTTTGTGTATTGCTCCAATGCATCTAAAGTGAACTTAAACAGCTTTCTGTCATATACTGTCTTGATATTTTTTATGTTTGCTGTACTTGACATTTGATCAGGAAGCAAGGTGGAAATCCAACTAAATGTTCCAAAAGAGCCTAAATATTGGTGTGTACTGCATGTTCTGTGAGAATTATAATTTTTTCCCTCATTCCAGAATTATAATAGTCCAGCAGATTACCCAACTTTTATACCAAAATTAGCTGTTCGTTTTATTGACTTAGTACTTGGCTAACAGATTTTAACTGTTTTAATCATGGAAAGTTATCATTTTCCCCTATTAAGAACTTTCTCTTGTTTCTTGCCATCTTAAAAAGTTTTATGTTGTTATATAATTTATTTTTTTAGAACACAATAATTTTGTATGATAGTATTCAACAGATGCATATACATTATAGTAAATAAAGCAGACATAGCTCTTAGTAAATGCAGATATTATTTCCATAAAAGTAATTTTTGATTTCCTCCTTCTGTATTCAAAATTTTGCTATTAGAGTTTTTATATTAAAAGATCCTATGTGGATCCTTATGAGAAAAATGATGACTGAATATAATTTTGTTTATATGATTTTGATTGAGCAAAAGTGAAAACCATTCTGGTTTGAAACTTTTGATAATTAAATGACAAAGTTGCTTTATTAGTAGTGTGTGAAAACTAACAATTGTACAAGCTTGCCTTTTAACAAGACAGCCTTTTTTCTTCACTATTTTAAATTTTTTCCTCTTTCTAATCTGCATTATTCTTTTTATGCAAAAACACTCAGCTGCTATCTTTACTAGAAATAGCATATCAAATATTTTCACTCCTTCAGAAGTGATTTATTCCCTCCCTGTACTTGAAATGGAAGCAACAGATTAGCTTGTCTCACTCTAAACAGATAGGTCAATATCATCTAGCTATAAAATATTATTTTCTCAAATACTGAAGCTCTAGTTTGAAGTGTCTTTGCCTAATAGCAATGGCCTAATTAAAAAATGTCTTATCCCTAATATATGAGGAAAATTGTTCTTTTCTATATTGTGATTTGTGTTAAATAGATTGTGATTTGTGTGTTCTTTAATCAGCTGATGGCCGTAATAAGTTTAATCTACATTGCCCATGTGTAATCTTTAATCATTAAACTACGCATGTAAGTAGTTTAATAAAACATTTATTAAATGCATTTTGTAAAATTATTTATAGTAAGTTTTTCGTGTAATGAAATTTAAAGATTTTAACACATTTTGTTCATTTTATAGATGTGCTAAGTAGAAGTCAAAGATTATTTTACCAAAATGTTTCACCTTATGCATCAAATGAAGTTGTTTCTCTAAACTTTTGCCCATACTGTCAGTATTCAACACCTTACAAAGGACATTTGCGGACTCATACAGGTGAACGACCTTTTTCATGTAAAACTTGTGACAAGAAATTTCGATATCAGTCTCATGTGCAAAGGCATATGCTTACACATACTGGTTTGAAAAGCCATATTTGTGAACTCTGTGGTAAGGCTTTTGGGCGATCTGATGCATTAAGAAGTCATAAAACATTTTGTAAAGGAAACAAGGTGTAATCATTCTGTGGCAATTTTTTTTAGGAACGAAAACTCAAGTTTTGAAGAGAAATAAAATTGTTAGTCTTTGAAAATGGACAGTATTTTTCCAGTAATATTATTACTTTGTGTTATTTTAACTGTTGAAGATTCACCAGCTCATACAAAACAAAGTCTTCACTATGTGGTGCAAAATGTGAAATTATTACAAATCATATAACAAATAGTCTTAGCTTTGAAGTGATTGTTGTGGATTCTATGGAATTTTTAGTTGTGCATGTTACATGCATCCATCAAGAACTTTCGGAAGACATATTGCTGAGTAAAAATTGATCTTTATTGCAAGCATGCAACTTCTCGAACAGCCGGTCTCTCTCTCTTTTCTCTGTGCGCTTCTACCTCGGGTTGCCGTATTTTTTCAGCATACACTCGGGGGCGCAAGGCACGCTCCTTGTCGCCACCACAGCTTACTTTGCTAATCGATTAGCCAAGCAATCATTATAATAAATATAGCATCCATTGTTAACTTGATTGCTTATATTTTCGTTGGTTTTCATAAATTTAAAAAAAAAAAAAAAAATGGTAGGTAGGGAGCTGTAAAATTATGCTTATAAACAAAAGACACATGTGTTTCTTGAGTTCGCTGTATTAAATGTAAATTTTCAGCTTTTTTTAAAAAGATCATGCGTAATTAATAATAATTCAAAAAAAATACGGAAGATTTTGTATATTTTACAGTACTGCATGTGTAAAGAATATGTAGTTTTGTTTTGTTTTTAAGTCATTCTATAATGCTTATGTAATCAAATTTTATATATATATATATATATATATATATATTTGGTGTGTCTGTTATTTGTATAAAGATAAACAAGTTTAGTTGAGTTTTGTTTCATTTTAAAATTTTGTTGTGACTATTTAATTAATTTTTTATATTACTTTTTGTTGCATTTATGTACTGTTATTTGATGTTCTTCAAACAGTCGTAGGTGAGTGTATTTTGTTTTTAGTTTGTGGAAATTGGTAACAAGCTTAGATATTATATTATCAGCTGAGAATGTAAATTGTATGAAGTTAAATGCTTAAATTCTGATCATGCTGAAAACTGTGCTATATATTAAGTTTTTAAATTATTAAAGATTTTATTAGAATTATCATTAGCATTTCATCTGACTATAAAATTCTTAAAATCTTAGCATATGGAACATTGAGAAGTAATTTAGATATTTTAAAAAAGATTACTGTACCAAACTAATTGATGAAATATGTACAGAGGTTGCACAGTGAAACTGGAACATCTGAAACTTTTGTAGAACGTTCTGGAACTGTATTTTGTAATAATTTATTTATATAATTTATACCCTCTTTTAGAGGCATGTGCTACAGTTATTTTTTTTGGGGGGGGGGGGTCTATTGGAATATTGACTTATAAGTTACGTAAAACTAGAAAAAATATTTTTAGCTATTCTTCTGCAAATTAATGTGTATTTTATTTCATAATAAGGATGTCTTTTAACTCTGTCCGCTAGCATGCCTCAGACATGTTCAATGATGTTTAAATTGGGAATGTGCAATACTTGAAAAGGGTTCAAATGTACTGTTATTTTCTTTAAACCACTTTGTTGCCACTGTTCAGCATAAATTAGTGCACTGTAATCTTGATGCGTATCATCTCTTATGGGATACAATATTTAAAAAAATGGATATACTTAATCATTTAGAATACATTAATAATACTCAAAAGTGACATGACAATTAAGAACTATCAGTATTCTCAGACTTCCGTTATTCATTGGCCTATTTTATTAATTTACTTCCATGTTTCTGAGCCTGAGGCAGCCCATATCATTTGTCTCTGAAGGAGTTCTCTATCCATCAGCTTTTAAAAATGTGGAAAAGAAAATAAAAGATGTACTGACTGCTGAATAGTACACATGTGTTGTTTGTACACAAATGTTGCATTACTGTCATCTCTGAAACAAGCATTTAGCATGGATAATAGTTATGAAAGGTTTTACTGTTGTGTCTCTGTCATAAATTAACCTGAGAAGCTTCCAATAGGTAGTTTTCATAGAAATAGGTGAGCTCAGAATGTTGAATCTATTATAATTTAAGTAATCTTATGTTATAATTTGTTTTATATTTGATTATTTTAAAATTTTTTTATTTTTTTTATATTTTTTTTTTTTTTTTTTTTTTTTTTTTTTTTCTTTGGTTACACTAGTCAGACAAGCACCAACTATTTGTCTTCTTTTGAACTTCAGCAAGTCTCTCATTTTTGTGCCATATTTCTCAGTGTTAATGTCTGAATGCACAGTATTTCTGCTGTTGCTAAAAATTCAAGTTCAGCACACTGCTCCTACTGATAAAATGCTTTGTCACTCAGAGATATTTGGCAGAAGTGTATACAGTGTTTGAAATCTGGAGTATTGATTCTATGATGTTTAAATTGGGAATGTGCCTAATGTTTCAGATTCATTGTTCAACCTTTATATATTAAGTAGCAAAATTAATTCTAAATATTATTTTTAAGTATTAGAAATTTTTCTTTACAAAAGGTAAGTATCAATTAAATTTGTGATATTATTGTAAGTAAAATATAATTCTTTGATTGTGTTTCTATAATTGTTAATGTATTTAAGCAGATATAATACTCGCAGAATTAATTGCCTGTGATTGTAATTAATTTAGGTATACTGAATCGTAAGAACTGTATAAAAACATGAAACAATATAAACATTGTGATACTTATAAAGTATCAGAATTTTTTGGTAATATTCTCACAAATGTCAATAAATTGTTTGGTTTCATTGTGGTGAGTTTCATGTTCAGAATCTTAGTGCTTCTCACATTACACAGTAGTGGCCCAAAATTTCGGATACATTTTGAAATTTTCATATTTTGCAGTTTATAAAAGATATGTCTTACTAAATGTCTGTGTTTATATATCTGAAAAATAGGTTAGGTTAAAAAAAATTGAGTATTTTTAGTTAAACATATTCCAAATACTTTATATAATATGAATTATCTCTTTTTACTTCCTTGTACGAAGTAAAGGAAGTATAATCGCAAACAAATTTCGAGTATCATATTTCAATGAAAATAATCCATTTTGATCACACTCCAATCCATTTTAATGCTGTTTTTGCATGACATCTGAATGTATGCACAGAATAAAGGGCTCTTTTCTCCAAAACAGATCAGAAAATGAATTCAGGAGCTTAGAGATATTGTGAAACATGGACACATGCATGTATCTCGTTTAACTCAAAAACGAGTTGTCTCAGAACATTGAATTTTTTTATATGGGTCTGCTATAATATCTCGTAGAGCACCTGCTATTTTGTTGCAGTCGGCCTCACCAAATGTATGTATATTACCCCACTATATTACTCAGCTCATTGAGCTCGGTTTTTCTTTCCATTTTTTTATGTTTCTAATTTATGCATTTTTTGCTTTAAAAGTGATTGAATTTTAATATGTTCTGTTAAGGTTTTTATCCCTTTAGTTAATCAGCATGCAATAGTTATAGAATTATCAACAATTTAAAAGTTTTAAGTGGTGATAAGCCTAAGGAGGCTGCCATTTGTTTACATTTGAATCTGTTAGTAAAATAACTAATTCAGTTTGTGCATCAACTTGTTTTTTCATAGAAACTAATTTTAATTGTTAAATCTTTTTCTAGCTGTATTTGGTATTTTAGATTTTTCTGTATTTTACAATCTTTAATGAAGATGTTTCGAGTTTTTATGTATTTTTGTCTTGTTGCAAAGTGAGAACTGAAGTGATTGAATGAGAAATATATCTCTGATGAAATTTGAGGAAATAAGTTTAAATGAAATGCAGTAAAAAATGTGTATAATTTAATAGGCTGTGCAGTGAAGTCATGTGATGTCCACATGAGATATTTTAATAAAAAGATTAAGGATTAACTTTGTTGTTTATCATTATTTTGTCTGAAGTAGCAGAACTGTATAATCTCCAGGAGAATTGCTAAAGTAATTCTGAACTTTATTCAACATATGGTTTCTTTTTTGCAAATTACATAATTAGATTTTTTGAATAAATTGGAAAGGAGCTCTATTTTGCATTTATGGGTTTGTTTTAGAATAAAGTTATTTCTTTGGGGAAAGAAACTGGAAATATACAGGGGTTGAACAAAAATATGGAAACACCTTTAAAAAAACATGTTTCTTTGCTTAATATGGTGTAGGAAACCCGTTGGCATCCAAAACAGCTTGCAGTCTTCTCGGAATGGATAAATACAGTTCCTGCATGTTTGCCAAGGGAATATTATACCATTTTTCCTGCAAAACAGTGGCAAGTTCAGATAACGATGTTGGCGGTGGATAACGAGAACGCACTTTCCGTTCCAATATAGACCACAAAGGTTCGATAATATTCAGGTCTGGTGACTGTGGTGGCCAGGGGATATGGAACAACTCATCCTCGTGCTCAGAAAACCAGTCCTGGACAATGTGAGCTGTGTGAACAGGGGCTTTGTCATCTTGGAAGACACCATCACCATCGGGGAACAAAGTTTGTACCATGGGATGAACTTGATCAGCCAAAATGTTCACATAAGTCTTGGCAGTCATGTGCCCTGACACAGTTATCATGGGGCTAGCAAAGAACCACGATATGGCTGCCAAAACCATAACAGAACCCCTGCCATGTTTCACTCTTGGCAACAAGCAGTCTGTATTATAGGCTTGAGATGGCGTTCTCCAGACGTAAACTCGGCCAGAAGTGGGAAACAATGTGATAGAAGACTCGTCAGACCATATTACTCGCTTCCACTGCTCTATAGTCCAGGCTTTATGACTTAAACACCACCTTTTCCTGTTACAGGCATTAGCATCACTGATGAGTGGCTTCTCAATTGCAGCACGGCCAGCAATTCCCTGTTTATGAAGCTCCCTTCTAATTGTTTTGGTACTCACAGGGTTCGGTAACACAACATTCATTTCAGCAGTAACTTTTGCAGCTGTGGTCTTCTTATTTTTCGTCACAATTGCCCTTAATGATCGTCTGTCACGATCACTCAGTACACACTTTCGTCCGCGCTGTGATTTAGCAGATGATATTTTTCCGCTTTTCAAATATGCGGAATAAATCTTCGATACAGTACTCTTGAAACACTAAAACACCTCGGCTACCTTGCTTACGGAAGCACCTACCATACGTGCTCCAACAATTTGCCCACGTTCGAAGTCTGTTAAACTCTGACATAATGCAATGAACAACCTCACATAACAGTACTCCGACAACAACTGAACTGTTTAGCACATTTACGAAGTTGTATAGGTGGCGTCAGTAGTC